TACTTTTCCATTCCCAAGACTCCCCGGATCTTTACATCCTTCAGCCCTCCTTTATCCTTTCACCCCTGCATGATTTATTTAAGTCCCTGCCGCCCGCAGAAACTCGCGATCATCGGGTGGTTCCAGGTCTAAAAGACACGTTAACACGCGCGCCGCGTTGTTAAGAGAGGCGATGCGGTTTTATGTTCGGGGTCGTTAGAGCTGCTTCCTGCCCTCTCGGGGCGAGGGCGGGGTGAAGTGCGGGAGGGTGAGGGGGGTTGGGGGGTGGCGGGGTGAGGAGGCTGGCGGTAGAAGCCGCGTGCCGACGCTCGCCATCCGGGGAAGATTTTCAATTTAAGAGCTGTCGGCCTCCGCTATTCCTGGCGGCGCGCCGCGCCATGCCGCGCCGGTCCTTTCGTCGCCCGAAATGAGGCTGAGACGGGCAGGGGTGCCCACCGGTGAACGCCTATTGCGGAAACCTCCGTGAAACACATTCACACACACACACACATAAATTTGTACATCAGGGGTTCACAACCAAGGTGCTTGGAATGAATTTCAGATGTGCTTCTGTAAAAAAAAAGTTGTCAAAACTATTCAAAAGCAGATTTCCCATTACTTCACAATGGGGCGTTTCTTAAAAAAGGGCAAAGTCTTTTGAGACTTTTAGTTTGTTTGCACAATTAATATAATTGATTAATGGCACAAGGTAATGCTAAAATAATAAATAATCTGGAAAACTGCTTGTTCTTATAAACGAGTTCTTATAGCGCATGGTATGACAATTTGTTCAATACCTCGTTTGTAGGCTTCGGACGGAGTCAATACATTCTTGAATATCCGGGATGAGCCGCTGCTGATAGCAGTATAACTCTGAAGAAGGCCACAGCAAGAAGGCCGAAATGTCAGCACAATTGACCGAGACACTGCTCATCCCGGATATCCAAGAACGTATGTTCAATACCTCATCATTTAAAACTTTCTCTGAATAATCCACCCCCATCTATTCAATGTCCTCGTTTCTCCAATGATCCAAAATATATTTTTGAAAGCTGAAATTTGAGATACTGTAGGGGGACGAAAAGAGAACGGATATCTGAATGCGTCGTGCAATATTGCGTCAAGTATAATACAGTTGATAAAATGTTTTGACTGAGCGTAGGGTTAATGATATTATTTATTATTTCGAGATATGTAATATCTTTTGCTGCCTTTTATTAGAAACTTTTTTGTGGAGTCTAATGAAACTAATTTATTTTGTTAGCCTTTCAGTCGAAGTATTTTTGTACTGTGTCTCACTTCCAGAATTTGTAATATCAACTACATCAGTAACTTGTTTTGAAAACCAGAGACCATAAATAAAACTAAATGACATTAAGTGACGTAAGCTTCATCACTAAAGTTGCAATAGCAAGACTTCAACCTGGCGTTTTAAGAATGCAAGTCAAGTGCAAGGAGTAAACAAGCCGAGAAGAATCCAATCAGCGAGACGGAACATCAAACCGGAGCAGAACACGTTAGGAGCAACATCGTTCTCTTGAAGAGTTAACCGGGAAAATGCAATGAACGAGCTTACAGCTCTCGCCATTCCACTCCACGCATCTCCAACGCTTCCATGCTCATTTACCGATCGTCTTAATCTTTCCCTTCAGTCTCTCTCGTTCGTCGATTACTGACTTTCCAATTATTCATTCTGCTACAAGTAAATTCACCAACATTATTATTCATTATGAATTATATTCAACTAGAAACTACGCTACACTTTTCAGAGGATAAAGTTCAAAGTTCACCAAATACTATCCAATGTTCTTGTGGTTTACCAATCAACAGATAGTTTGAAGTACTTTCTTCATAAATTAGTTGAGTTGGCACAGTTCTTTCAAAGTACAATCTATTTGCATTCGGGTCACTCTAGAGGTGCGCCTTCAATACATACAAATGAAGTTCAGAACCAATTTTATTAGTTTTGTTTTCATTAGTTTGCAGTCACCAATTTCAAGCGAAAATATTCATGATTACTCGTGGCATTTAAAGTCCCCAATTCAGATAATAACTATCCATAATATATAAATTTCATTAATTGCTGTATCTCCGAAACACCCCGATTGTCCTCCTGCTCAGCGGAAGCAAAACAATCAATATCTTGTCATTGTTTTTCTCTTCTTAACCATTGTACACTCCATGAACAAAACAAAATACATTAAAAAACCTCTATCCTTGATGATTACGACTTTTTCTGTGACGTTTTTGCTAGAGAATGAATTTCATATTACACAGCCGCAATTATCAGTTACAAGCGGAAGTAATATTTAGCGTAATGAAATCGATTACAACCATAAACGTTGAATAAACAAATGAATATTTCATTTCTCTATCATAGCTTCTCGTGGAAGATTTATTATGACGTATGCTAAAAAATAATTTTTGAGCAGTATGGTACGAAAATCTAACATTCATACAGTTTTGGAATGGTTAAATTAATAAGACACCTCTTGACTAATTTCATACAGTATTCAACGGCATCGTCTTTCGCTTGTCTACCACCATCATCATATCTACCATATTACTACATTTGTACTCAAGTCTACGAACAAAAAAATAAATGATGAGTGTATCAAAACGAATTTGGACAAAATCCCGACAAAATAACATGCAAAATAATTAAACTATATGTAGAATCACTATCAAGGTAATCACCACACATGAAGGTTACAGTTTTATAAAATAAAAATAGCAAAAAATAGGAAAAAATACAAAATGTTAATATGATGTAACAGCACAACTCTCTGAAAAGCATACTCTGCTTCAGGGGAGAGAAATAAAGATTTTTTTAAATCTAGTACTATCACCTCCACCATCGCTACCGCAACCACCACCACCACCACCCCCACCATCGCCGCGGCCACCTTCACCATTACCGTCACCATCACCAATCGTATAAATCGTGAACTCATGAGCACATTCTCAATTCTCATCACCTCCTCCCGATATCGTCACCGTCAACGTCACCTAGCCCTTCTCCTTTCAACCTTACTACTATTGACAACAGCTACCTCGTTACTACGTACCGTTATGACAACTATAACTGACACTAGCCCCAATTCAACCACCACCACTATCACCCTGCACTATCATCACCACCACCACCACTTTCTACACTGCCTGGGATGGATCAGTAACAACATCAGTGAGTCTGAAGAGTCGACCGGGAGGTCCTTCAGTCGAATCTCAACTGTCCGAAACAAGATGCTTCTAAGTTGAATAATTCAAATATTAGAGCACTTTTTCGCTACGTTGAATTCAAAAACTGCCTAAATGAGGATTCTAGTATCCGGCCCTTTAGGACTGCAGTTTTTCGTGATTTCTCTAATCAATACGAGGCCAAGGGGAACTCACGAACTTCCCGACCTCATCCTTGTCTTGTCCTCACCCCTTACACACACACACACACACACACGCACACGCACGCACACACACTTTCACTACCACACATATGGGGAGGCCATTTGGGACCTTAGAGCTTCCCTGGGTGGGGGGTTGATTCCTTGGAGGAGAAAAACTGATGAGTTCAAGTTGCGAGAATCACATTCAGAAAGACGAAATCGTTGCTGAAGAATCTGAGATTATTACTAGAACGCAAGACGATGCCGAACGCAAGACAGCGTCAACCGATATTGTTATGCTCCTCCGTTGCACTGGGAAACAGATGAAGGTCGTTACCATGTGTATGTATTAATATGTATTGAGTCATATATTATGAAGTCTACAAATGAATTAAAAATAAACTCCAGTACTTTTTGTGTGATATAACTAGGTATATTATTTTTAATACTGAATAACAAAAACCCCACAAGCCGACGTAAAGGACGGGTTATCCGGCAAGTTGAGGAACACCGCCACTACCCGGAATGTAACTACTAAGGGAACATATGAGCATAGCAGTTGACACGTCCGGAAACAATAAATACGTATTATTCGCTCGCCTTTTTCAGCATCATTCTCACCATTGCTAAAGCCTCCATATGCATCTTCAGTGGGCGTTGCCTGACGGCTTTTTTCAGGAGGCCGCCGCAGTTCATTTAACAGCAACGTCAACTGGTCGAGACTACTTCAGGTGCGCAGGCAGACGTCAGGGGCGACTGGGCGGAATGGGGGGGGGAAACTAAGGACGGGGACTGACGGAAGACCTGCTGCAAGTCTGAGCATCAACGGATAGAACGCCATGAACATGTCACTGCTCCCAGGGTATCTCGTCACAAAGGATAATTTTATGATATCCAAACAAGGGACATTCGAAGAAGTGATGCTGACAATAGAAAAGGAACTTTAAATGAAATGCACATTTGGCACGTATGTGAAAGAAATTAATTTATACTCATGGCCTGCAACATGATAAAGCTGACAAAGAAAACCACACAAAACGGTTTTCTAAAAAGTAGCATATCATTCTACAAAAACAACGAATAAAATACTCTCGTGTATCGCTGAAATGAAGTAAATATTTTAACAAAAACACGAATACTGATACATCGCAGTTCATATCAGATCGGCAGTTCTTTACATTCAAAGATTATGGAACAAGTTCTTCACATTCAAAGAATGTGGAACAAGTTCTTCACATTCAAAGAATGTGGAACATGTTTGTCTTTCCCTAAAGCTTCACGTGAATATAAAATAAGTAATGACGCACAGCCCCTTTCTTGGAGCGTTGCTGTCGTGTGACACCATCTGCGTTTAGACGCTCATAATGTGAATTCAATCGGTACACGCAAAATGAGAATAGACAGAATTATACAATTAAAGATTTGCATTTTTTAGACACAATCAAAACTGTTTTATGGCTTTTGGATTTTCCCTGAGTTCCTGGGGATTTTTCCTCAGTTCTAACAAAACAAATGACTTGTCACATATCGCCGGAGGCTGCATTGATTTCTTTCATTTTCTGACTGTGCCCGTTACAAATTAGTAATATTATATTTTGTCTCACGGGAACATTTAATTCAATTAGTGAATTTCCTGTATCAATCATCAACAATACTTGGTTCATTGAACTCGGCCTTTGAGTATGCTAATCTTAAATACGATAATTACAAAAATTATGAGAAACTTACTTCTTATTAGAATACGCGATTTCAGTTTTGTTGCTGAAATCTATTGCACTAAGAATTGCTGCTATCATCTTTTTTCGTTCTTTCGAAGACCCCTTTTCTTCAAGTTCTTGAATAACTGGAGGTATCCCGTAAAAACGATGGGTGTAAATGCAGTTCTCATATTTCTATTGAACCTGTGATTTCATAAGCATCCCCTAGATGTTTAACTTGCTATTGCATATGGGAGACCTATTCAAAAACCCTTAATTGGCAACATTTTATTAAACCATATGTAATAATGTTTAAAAAATCTGGAGTTTCTACCTTGCTCCTGCTGTTCAATCTTTTTGTTACAATCACGTGAACGCAGTAAATTATATTATGTAAGATATCATGTCACTGCCACCAAATTTTTAGTATTTCTTTACTATGCCTTAAATATGATAATATTCCATTCATAAATCCATTACGTAAAATGATACTACTGGCGTTCTCACTTTATTAACTTACTCTGTAAATTGAATTTAAAAAAAATGAAATTCCATAAAACAATAACCAACTTCATAGCCTGAGATTTGAATTAAAATGTTATATCATGTCTGATACAATGGGCTAAATTACACAATTTTGGCAACTCTGATGATAGAATATTTACATTGAGTTACTTAAAAATTGATATAGTGGACAGATTCAGGATACAGAATGTCAAATGTCATAATGGACTTTCAATAGTACGCATATTCATCATTATACTACTTTTACAATTACTCCATTTTTATCCGTCTACTAAATACGAAATGGAAGATAATATTTGCTGGATGTTTGTGTTCGGGCAGCCTGAACTATTTCACAGATTTCCAAATGAGTTGGTCTTCGTCTCAACCTAAAAAAAATCGACGTATTATGGAGTTATTGAATATTCTGATAGATGTTTCAGCTGTGTATGACTGCATTAGAGCTATGAGGATATTTAACACGTGCAAAATTTACTGAATGCAAAAAACTAATAAATATTAAATTGTTACATTCGGCCAATTTTTGACAGTATAAAAGACGTTAATCATATAATTGTTAGCTTTTTGAATGATAATCTTGTGTATCCGTACACAGACAGCAAATACTACTTACATTTTAAACCATGAATCATTTAGTGCGTATCGTTATCTGATAAGAGTAACACAATTTCTGGCGGGTAATGCGATTTACAACAGCGTTAAACGAACCGCACAATCAAGTTTCTTGCGTTTGATGTCCGAATGCGAAGGATCGGCCAATAAGAAAAGCACTTTCGCTGCCTTTGATATCGTTATCTCCACTTTGACGCCCCGCCCCGGTCTCCGCCATAAAGCTGTTCTCGGCTCTGGCGGCCCCAGTGCAGGGACTGCAGGTGAAGACCCCAGTGCAGGGACGAGCGTCTTTTGTCACTTATATTCCGCTCGGTTCACAATGAGCGCCTTTCCTTCGCAGTGACATCAGCAGAAGCTCCCAAAAGACAGTTTTGTTTGGAGGGAGCTTCTCCTTCACATTTGAATATAAATTTCCTAGCAGTTATAAATCAGAAGGACATCAGATTCTCACAACTGAAATTAGTGAAACTCTTAAAAGCAGTTATTTCAAACACAATTGATGATACAGTGCATTATTTTTCGATGCGTTGTAACAAGTTAATTCTTTCAAGTCAAAAGTTTCAATGCGTTTGCATTGTGTTGAAAAAAAAAGAATTTTACACAATAAATTACCTAAAAAGTAGATAGTTTTCGACCTCAAAGTTAGGTTAATGGTCT